ACTACTGGCTTTCTTCCTCTTCTGCACCCCAACATGTCCAACACATGAAATAATCCAGGTAATTACGGTACCAGCAAGATTAGAAAGACATGCATCAACACAGAATTCAACAGAGTGCACTAGCATGAATCCATCTCTGCTTTAAATGTACAAGTTACGCAGTGATATCCAATCCTAGGGTGATGGTCTAATAATGTAAGTGAAGCAGGACTGGTCGTCATGCACAGCTTTTATTATATATATTTTATTTTTGTACCACTCCTCAAAAGTGTAGAAAAAAATATTTGAACAGAACCGGTAAGTCCAATAGGTCTTGCCGACACATGCATCTTCAAAAAGATATATACTCCACGTTGTCCATAGCACTAAGTGGTAAAGATTCTACCACTGCTGCGGTGCTCTGCCGGTGATTAAGTGTTGGCTGAAGAGGCATTTGGGGCAGGAAGAATTCCATTGAGGATAACAAGCTTCATGGAAGCAATGGCCACAGCTAAGTTTCTGCATGGTGTCCATGGGCTTCAGGCAGATCGTACAGTCTTCGCGTTTATAGATATCGGCCGACTCGATTACCAAGCGTTTCCAAAGGGCTTGATTGTCTGGACTGAATAGCTGGTAGCAATCCTCGTCAGTTACGTCTTTCCAATCAGATGTGTACTGCTCGCCAGTTGCCTTGATTCCATGAAAACGGTACTTGCATCTCACGAATCCAACCGTGACAGGGTAATCCTTTTGCTCGACTTGCAGTTAGGGCATGTGAACTGCTCTTTAGACAACTCAATTGCTCCAAACCGCTTTGGACAGATCACTCGGTAGCTTGAAGAGCACTTGCACTTGCATTCGACGTTCGTTCCTGGTAAGACAGTGCGTCCAGGAGGAACTGACAAGGAAAATTCGTACCTGCGCACACCAGATAGTTCGGAGACATCCGAGAACTTGAGCCCTATACCTGGGGCGTGACCTCCACCGCGCAGACGCAACACAAGTGCAATATCGAGCCATCGGCGATATTGTAATCTTCCAACGTATCCTCGTCCTCAAGCCGCTCTCCTGCGAAGATAAGTCTTTGCTGGTCCGGAGGGATCCCTTCCATCTCCTGAACCATGGTCTTGATGTCCATGATGATGTCTTGACGGTTGCAGGTCAAATGAATAGTCTTGCCAGTAAGTGTTCTCATTGCAATTGCCATTTCGCCCTTTTTTTGAGAACGATAGGTCAAACTGTTGCCAAAGATTCGATAGGTTGTAATAGACTGTCGTTGATCTTTAGCATGGATGCCGTTGATATAAAGGCCACGCCATCGGATCTCGCTCTCATTCTCGCCAAGCTTGTTGGAGACTCGTTGTATTAGGAAGTAAACGGGTTCGTCATCTTTGTAGGGCGCTCTGACGGACATGCCAGGCTCACCGGCAATGAGCACGTCGAGCTCTGCAGCCATGATGGGAAGCAAGTGAGGTGGGTTAGGGTAGATGGTATGGAGAGGAACAAGTTGCGGGTGGAGAGAAGAAAGAAACGGATTAATGTATTCATATTTACACAATGCTACAAGGCCTCGGTTTGGATTGCCACATGTTATTTTTGTGAAGAGGGCAGTGCATCCCTTGTCTTATTCACCCCTCCTAAAGTCGAGGATCGATACCATGGGCTATAGTAGCATTGCTTCGCACACTCGTCATGGCAAGTGGCCTTGCCTTGCTCTTTCCTAATGCTTCACTCCTGCGCTATATTGACCAATGTAGCACGTACGAGTAGAGAAGAGCATCCATCACCAAGTATATAGGTTACCGTCTGCCACGAGAATAAAGATCCCTCTGTTAACATATTTACCAACGGGCCAGTGTTAATTTTAACAAGGGAAGGGAATAAATCCGCCGTAGACGACTTTTATTGAACAGGGCGTTGCCAAGTGTCTTGTAGCTTTTTTCCTCTAACCTTTTGACGCGAGGGATATTGGAGCCATGCGAAAAGAACCCGTGAGTGCTGCTGTGCTGCTGTGCTTCGTGTGTGCAGCAGGTGACTAAAAAAATCATGCACTGCTCTATCACTTACTTCTCTCTATTTCTCACCCATCAAACCGCCCATCTATGAAATACACTATGTTGCGCCATCTTGCCGTCGTCTGTACAATCCTCGGTGTGTCGAACGCAGGTCCATTGGCCTATGGGATATGTCAGTCGGGATGCAACGCTCTCGTTGTCGCATGCTACGCAGCCGCCGGCTTTACTTTTGGAACTATTACCGCGGGTGCTGCAGTTCCAGCTGTCATCGCTGGTTGTAACGCAGCACTAGGCACATACATGGTCGGCTGTGTTGCTGCCGGATGCGCACCAACCCCTAGCCTGCCATCCGGCTCTCTGTTCCAGCCATTTGTCTAGTCTAAAGCCAGTCAAAAGAAGTCTTTTTTTATAAAACTCAAAAAATAAATTGCTGAGCTTTAAGCCAATGTACAAAGGTATCGCCTATCGCTTCTTGCCCGACAAAACATGATGTATACCAGCCTCCAAGCTCTAGGATTCAACAACGAGCTGGGGTCATCCATGTAGTTACCAAAGTGAATTCCGTACAATACATGAACATTGAGGGGTCTACTTGAAGTAAAATGGCCGATAACCACCCCTGCCAACAACGTGTTCTGTGAAAGCAGAGATCTGAAAATCTAAGCTGAAAAAAAAGGTGCACGAATTTCTGCTTTTCCAGCACGTGCTGGAGGAAAAACAGGCACAAACCTTTTGAGAAACAGCACAAACCTATTGGGAAGCAGCACAAACCTGTTGGTGAACCAGCACGAACCTGTTGGGAAGCAGCGCAAACCTATTGTGGAAGCAGCACGGACCTCTCGGTAAAGAGCACTAGCCGCTTGTAAAAAGCAGCATAGGCGTAGACTATGCTGGTTTACATAGCAGAGTCTCCTTGTCTTTTGTCCATTCTCAATAAAACTCTTTGTGCCGCCTTTTTCCACAGAACACACATATCCCTTTTGAAGACAATGCCGATGATGTCGACGATGATTACCATGACGAGGACTGCACTAATCAAAGGCCATGGACGAACACTTAATGGTCAGCAAGGACGAAGACGGGGATGACAAAACTGATCGTTAAGTTGCAGTGTAATGGTTGACAGTGGAAAGATGAGAGGAATGGTGAGTCGATGAAGTGTTAGCAAGTAATGTGGACCAGCATGTGTGCTATGCTGCTTTTTACAAGCGGCTAGTGCTCTTTATCAAGAGGTCCGTGCTGCTTCCACAATAGGTTTGTGCTGGTTCACCAACAGGTTTGTGCTGCTTCCCAATAGGTTTGTGCTGTTTCTCAAAAGGTTTGTGCCTGTTTTGCATGCAGCTCATGCCTGTTGTTCCTCCAGCACGTGATAGAAAAGCAGAAATTCGTGCTCCTTTTTTTCACATAGAACACATAGAAGACTAACCGCTGTTTCGACTATACAAAGGCTTTCATAGTCAAGGCGGTAGTGATCGTATGGCAAGCAGGAACTCAGGATCGATCTATCTTCGATTTGATAGCCAACATAGCCAGGCGCACTTTCATATCAGAATAATAAAGGCCGCTATCGGCATTTTATTCTTTCACGTCGTGGAGGAGCTGCTGAATTGCTTTGGTTCAAAAAAACTGATATCAGTGACTGTCTGCTCGCTCGTCCTGCACAGTTGTAAACAGAAACACTCTGCATGCGTGGTTCAGGCAAAAAGAATACACCTTTCTTCACTCCAGCAATACCTCTTCGAGTCCCAAAACAGATCCTTCGGACATCATGGCCAGCAAAGACAACGTCCTCTTCTCCGACATCTTCGATATCAAGGACGTCGATGGTGCAGGAAAAAAGTTCGACAAGGGTACGCATCCTCGCTCAATGCCAAAAAAAACTCCCCCCTCCCTACTTCCATCCAACATACCTCTCCAGGCCTCATTGGCAGCGATGCATTTGCTCCTGGTAGATCAACACTGCTCTTTGTAACAAACCATAGGGGGCCGAACTAACCAAATACTATCAAACATCGTATCGTATCTAGTCTCGCGTATCAATGCCCGCAGTGAGAACTACGAGATGGAATTAACGCTCGATATCAACAACGAGCTCTACCCTCTCGAAATTGGCGAGAAGTTCTCACTTGTCCTTGCTACTTCCTTGTCCTTGACCACTACGGTCGGAAACGATACCTCAGGAACTCAGGAGAGCTGGCGTGAGAAGGTCGGTGGCGAGAGAACCTTGGCCGATGACTATGAATATGTCATGTATGGAAAGGTCTACAAGTACGATGAGGGTCAGGGAAGCAAAGTGTAAGTTTTGTTTTCGTTGAAACCGTGCCAATTCATGAAAAAGTATACGAGGCTGGTAGAGTTTTAGGATCAAGGGACGTGGACCTGGCAGGATTTGGACCTTCTCTCAAGCTGGGACCTAGTAACGGCAGAGCAGATCGATCGACGTAGGAATCTGGGCTATATGGAACCATTGAGCAGCAAACTGTGCGGGAGCGCACGTATATCACAGCCAAGGATTGCGGACGTGTTCAGGAACTATCGATCAAACATCGCTACTTCGATCTTCTAACAAACGCATCATCTCCTTTCTCAAATTAGCTCGGTTTACATTTCATATGGTGGTCTTTTGATGTGCTTGGAAGGCGATTTCAGACACTTGCAGAACATCAGCTTGGGCGAGAACTTGTACCTGTTGATGCGCAAGTAGACGAGGGCTCCATCCATTCCTCCCTTTCAACACCAACACTAGCACACTCATCATACACTCACACCACCGAGAATTCATAATAAACCACTGGAAATCAACGCATATCAGATGAACTTTGTTGTTCTATCTGGACGCAAAATACTATATCTATTTTAACCAGCTAAGGATATATTCTACAAGATTATTGCGAAAATAGGAGGAGGGGAGAGAGGGTATATGTCTAAGAATAATTGGTTGAAAATGCATGGCCGCCTGCCAAAGATAGCGAAATCAGATGGCCATTATAGAGAGGTCGAATTAGACACATTAAAAGTTCATAAATGTACTCTTGCGCCAGAATGGGTACCAGACCAATGCAGAACAGAACACGCCGAGCTGAATTGTCATAAAAAATAAAATAAAAAAAGAAGCAATTAGAGTCTGCCAAAGGACAGACGGGATCGAAAGTGCCGTATACGACCAAACGAAAGATACAATCAAATGCTTACCGTGATGCTCACAGAGATATTGACCATCCGCAGCGCAAACTGAAAGCCCTGACCCGGGTCACTTCCAATGATGGCCAGCACTCCTCTCACGCCGACACTTCCTGGAACCAGCAAAAGAACTCCGCTCAGCAGAGGCACATAGCTTAGCTTGCCCGTTATCCGACCGTAGGCCTGCCCTGCAACGCCGACCGCAAACGCCGCAACCGCGGGCGTAACCTGTGGACCGGCCGTCATAAAGTACGAGACCGTGAAGCCGACGGCGGTGACTACGGTCATACCGAGCCACTGGCTTGGATGCGCGTTGAAGACAATGTTGATCGAAGTCGACACCGCAGGGAAGATCAAAAAGAGCCACCAATGGTTCACGCCCTTCTCGCATGCCGACGCAGGGGCCGTCGATTCCCCACCAATCTAAGCATCAGCGCAATGCAATATCTCATGTCAATTATTATGCGCCAATAGGTTGACAAAGACAGCATTGCAACTATAACATTGCAAAGAGCAATAGTACTTACAGAGTCCCAGATCTCAGCGCCGAGGGAGAGTCCGAAGCCGAGGAAGAAGGCATACATCAGCGCATAGAACATCCTCACCGCGCCCGACACGATATTCCTCGATGCCAATTCCATAATCGACTGCGTCAACAACAACCCTGGTAACAACACCACCACACCCGCGAGTGCTACGGCCGAGAAGCACACTCGGTCTCCAAACGCCTTCGCAATGAACCCGACCAAAATGCTCGAGGTCACCTCAAACACATTTCCATACACCGGGAACTTGGCCGCGACGACTCCGAGCAATCCACCAACAAACCACAGAATCCCGCCAACACTGTGTCGAGCCAACTGCCGTTGAACGCCAAGGGCGCCACGAACGCCGCAGCGAACATCCAGGACATGACCGTGACCCAGACGGGATAATATCCAGGTTCAATAGTGACTTTCTCGAGTTTCTTGTTTGCCTCCTCGATACCTTCGCCATGCAGGACACCCCATGCGATTGTGTAGACCTTCGAGAGCTTGTACATATCCATGCCCTGCGTGCACCGCAGATGCCTTGTATCACTGGTATGTGTCTCGGGATCGCTGAACGAGATGGTCATTAACCCAGGCAGCAACGCGAATGAAGCGTCCACATCCATTTTTCTTGCCAACAACGCGCAGGTCTCCTCAATCCTATGCGACGGTGCTCCGTAGAGAATCAGAGCCTTGGCAATCATGATCAGGAACGACTGCCGCGTCAGGATTTCAGCGATATCCCGCTGGATTCCCAAACTGGTCGAGAGTGTCGCCGCCGTGGCCGCCGCCGTGGCCGCCGCGCTGATGGCCTCCATCTCTTCGATGTGTTCATGTGGGTCAGGTCTGTTGAAGGGTGAGGAGGCATTGTTGATCGACGTCGGCGGTTGTGTGGGAAGACGTGTGGTTGTGGTCGAGGCATTTGACGAGTCTAGCTCAAAGATCCTCGAGTTCCTGGGGGACACACGCGTGTGGTCGTGGCCGAGGGCGAATTGAGATCTGTGAACGAGTTGTTCTTGGACGAGGATCGATAATAAAACCTTTCTTTGTCTTCTTCACCTGAGGATGCTGTGGGCTCCCATGTGGTTTCCTGGCACCCGAAGATCCAGACGCCGCCGCCGCCGCTGCAGCCTCGTTCCTCTGCAGTTTCAGCAGTTGACTAAGAATGCCCCCCTTGGGCTTTCTGTGGCGCATTCCTGTGGCAGCCGTAGAGTCCGCTTGCATATCGGGCGATGATCTATCGACGGTGGCCGTGGCAGTAACCTGACTATTACTCTGTTCCAATCGTCTCCTGATCTCGTCGTTTTCATTCGGTCGACTCTCGTTCGCGGCCTCCTGCAGCGGATGATTCGAGAGCGTTGACGGCAACAGCAGTGGTTGAGGTGAGAACGACAGACTATTCAACAGAGCGACCTGAGCATCACTATTGGCAGAGAGCATCGGACTACTAAAGGGGTTTCCGAGATCGTTAATCATGACGCTGTTCTTCCTTCCATCCCTGTTGTTGCTTGTGTTACTGCTGTCACCCGTATGGTTGGTCTCCAGATCAACCATAGTTGCGTCCTGCATACGACGCCTTCCAGAGAGAGCTCTTTTGATGGTGTTAAGGTTTAGCCCTTTGCTGCTCTTGCCCGTGGGTGACTCTACAGATCCGCCCTCTTGTGACGAATTATTGACGCCCGAACATTCGGCCGCTTTGCCTGTGGACGGTGAGGACGAAACGATCGCATCCAGCAGAATACGAGAGGGTCTCCTCCTTGATGCATAATGATCTGCTTGCGAGAGCGAGGGCAAGGGCACCGTCCCTGAGAAGGAACCCATGGGGCCAGGATCCTCAATTGCTCGTGCGTATCGTTCAACACCAAGACTGAGTTTCTGCAGCTCCTGTGTGGGTGATCCGAGAGGGGTGACCATCGGGGTCTCCTGGGGTGTTCCTGCAGGACTGAAGGGGTTGACGGGCTCGCCTCTTTCTGTGAAGGGATTGGCGGTAGGGAGTGCGAATCCGGAGGAGAGGCCAGTGTTCCCATGAGTATTGTTCGCAGTTGTAGGTAAGGTGGTTCGCGGGGAAATGACTGCAGAGCCGGGGCTGATGGTGTCGATCAGAGTAGGGGAAGCACTGGTAATATTAGCAAGGATTAGGGCGGGGACTACAGCGCCATGGCCGGCAGTCGTTACAGTGCTGATTGATGCGGTGTCGGTACTGTTGCTGTCGAGAGGGTCATCCATCTGGATAGCATGGGAATGCGGATGGCCGTCTGGCATAGTAACCCTTTTGAGGAATGAAGAAATGGGGAGCGGAGGAATGAAGAAAGAGGAATGAGATGAGGAAGCTAAAGGAGGAGAAGGTGTGACGAAGAAAAAAGTTTTCAGAAGAGGATGGACATTCAACCGTTAAGAAAAATTTTAAGTCAAGAAATGAACGTTGAGTAAGCCCTTTGCGTGGAGCCTGCTCCCTCCTTTTTCTGCCATTCCCCACTTTGCTCCATTCCACTTTCAGGTGTATCCATGTGGATTAGCATCAGATCCGCAAAGTTCTAACATAAACGGATTTCCGATGGACAGGGACATTCTCGTTTACTTCCAAAGGTCTAGCTCTTGTCTTTTTACATCTTTCCTGCGATGCTGAGTGCGAAGAAAATTAGATTAAACGGGCCACAGCCAAAAGCCCTTTCTGCAAGACCATTCTCGCCAAAACCTCCGCCGAGGAAATGCTCACTGCATCCGCCTCCTCTCCTCATGCCCATTCACCCCCGCTAGCCCCCATAATGAAAAACAACCAATGATGTCCCCTACTGAGAACATCAGGCAGTGTAATAAATACTGGCCAGCCTCCGTGGATATCCAATCGATATTGGTATTGTAGTAGGTCCGACTGCCCCGCGTCAGCCCTGGACATGTTACTCATTTGCATACACCAGGCAATAGAACCCAGTTTTTCAGGTTTTTTTTTTTTTTTTTTTTTTTTTTGCGGAGGGCAAATTCACACTCGCATGGAGTATATGATTAAAAGGAATCTGAGCGCGTATAGCGCCATGAAGGACATCACGGCATCCTAGAAAGCATCTTGATGCTCAATTTCGTTCTTGACCCTTGAGTGGTGTCTGATGATATTGGAGTATACGCTTACGCCATGCATATGCAAGGATATATGTCCCGTGTATATATACTTCGTGCATGGTAGGAAACAAACCAAACCAGGCAAGATCCTGCTGTGGTGCTGTTGACGTTCAGTCTGTGGGACATAAATATTCGGTTTCACATTTTTACAGTGAATGCGTTCAAAAAGCACAACGAAATCGTACACGGCTGTATTTGGGCGCAGCACTTTCTCCTTCAAATTAGATTACAAGCTATCCTCTCCTTTATTATTATTAACGCTAATTGCTGATGATCACTACACCAAAAGATATCATGACTCCGCCCACTGCCATTACTGCTCCTTGATAGTATTCTGAGGGAAAGGGCCCTCTGGCCAACTTCACACGTACTTCACACACCATCGCATCGCCCATCGATCTCCCAACTCTAGCAGTTTTTCCTGAGCTCCTATCGCTATTCCCGCCCACCAGACTCCCACAATCACCCTAGCCCCCTTCGCTCCACTTCTCTCGCAAAATACCCTTACCGATCCCTCCACCACTGTCCTCGCCGACATTGCTCCGTTTTCGTTATGCTTCATCAGCCCCTCAATAAACTTTTGACCATATATCTTCACGGATCTTTGACGCCGTTTTTCCGCCAGACGACTTCATACACTGAGGGCAAGGATGCAGCCATGGGAACCTTAGCTCCGACGAGTTCAATAACCGAGATATCAATCTTTTAAGACGCGATTTTTATCAGAAGGGTGTCCATAATGACTCAGCTGCGTGCTTAGAGGCGTTGTAGGCATGACAGCCTGGGAAGTTGCGTCGTCCGGCTTTCGAAGTGGTACAGAGGAACCGGGCAGGAGGAAACTGGTGACCTTGCGAGAGGGTGTGGTGGGATTTAGAGAAAATGCGTAATAAAGAAAACAGGGCCTTTATGATACGGACTTATTATAAGAGCATAAAGGTAGTGAGATGAGCGTCTACATGAAAAAATGAGAGAGGAGACGAAATGGATGGAAGTGAACGATCATCTTAAAAGACCCTCGGATATGAAGTCCACTAAACCCATCGCCAAAAGCCCCTGTAACCCGAGCAAAGAACAGTCCATGGAATGATTGTACCAGCCCTACCGTCATATCACAAATGAACATAGCAACCTCAATATTCCTCACCGGCATCGCTACTTCGATCTGTGCGCGCAATTCGTTTACTACATCCTGTTTCGTCAGACTCGCCAGAATGGACCGCATCTGTGCTGAATTCAGCGCCCGATAAGTCTTCTCAGTAGAGCAAGTCGCGTAAACGGTATAATCTCCTCACTAGTATAGGTTTCAGCATAATCTCTCTGCTGAATCCAGAGCTGCAGCCGGATAACCACCACAAGCTGTATTGTCCTAATCCCTTGGACAAATCCTTTACGTATGCATGTTATAGTGAGCCAGGAGCCAAGAAGGTGGGGAATCGAGATTCTCTGCCAACAAAAAACAGAAGCCGCAGTTCGCGTCATCACGATCCACTACACATTTCTATTACGATGCAGATAGCCGCGGTATCTAAGCGACTTCTTGAAAACCGAAGGAAGTTTAATGCTGCATTGCTCCATGGAGATATGAATACGTAGACAGCAAAAAAAAAAAAAAAAAAAAAAAAGCAAAAGGCAAGAAAAGAACAAGGGCCATTAACAAGTCCACAGATAAATAGATGAAATGCCCCACCGAGGCCTAGTCGTCGTCCTCATCGCATTTTTCGCATGATCCGTTATGGTTGCGCTGATTCAATGATGTATTGGTGGGCCTTGGTTGCGAGGAGGAAATCAAGTGCCCGTTCCTATAGACATTGCAGAGTTTAAGGTGCAAAATGAGCACATCCATCGGAGTCGTGCACGACAGTCTGACTTATGCTTTCTCCCTCCAGCAGATGATGCTTGTGCAAGCTAGCAAAACCCCACCGCACCCTGTCGCATGCACGGGTGCTACTGTTGCATATGAACCGGCCATAGGCGACAAAAACTAAGGCCCACATCACCATGGGTAGGGTCAAAACGCACCACGTCCCTGAGGGTATTTCCTGTAAACCAGTTCACAAATTTCTGAATTTTTGGATGACCGAGAATACTAAAAAAAAAATGTGCATCACGATGTGCCGTCCATTTGTATTGTATCTTCTTGCCATCTCTCATCTCCTTCTCGCGCCCTGCCAGTAGCCAGGCAGTAGTGCCTCAAGCGGAACTCATAACCCAGCGACAAAGCAGCGGCGCCATATGTCATACCCCTTACTCTTCGCACTTTTTAGACAAGGTCGGCGAAAGCAGTCAGACTCAGTCTGCGATTTCCCACTCTGCCCTCTGATCGAAGGTGATGGCTCATACTTTTTATTCTGAGATTCTTGATAGCGTAATAGTCTGCACTTCAATGCGGCCTCTTTAATTCTCTCTGTTGCTTGACTCTCTTGCTTGTACGTAGCCGAAGTGCAAAATCATTATTACGACGATAAGGACGATAAGGACGACGTAGTAGACGAGGAGAGCGCGCTGTACGAGAGTGCATGGACAGAGGGTGAAGGTGGTACCGCAATAACGGCACACATGGTGCAGGAGACACAACATACAACAGCACCAGTACCAGCATGCTGTCGAGTCTCCCTCCTTGCCACTGCATCAACCTCAAATGCTGTCCGCTCCGCTCTTGCAAATGGGACTCATGCCAGAACTAATGTTACGAAAAAGAAAAGCGAGGCTGCTGCTGCTGGCAGACAACACCAATGGAACGACCAGCGAGACCATCGACCAGGGCGTTAGCGACGAAGAGGCTCGGCCTATTGTCCAACAAGTAGGAATGCCTAAGTCGGAACTGGAGTGGGCCGGGATCAATAACAGAGAGGAGGTAGATGCTGTCTTCATTGCCCAACAAGTGCGCCGCGCCAACTTACACCAATCCACCCAAAAATCATACGACAAATACCGAGAGCATTAGAAAGTAAGAGATGATCTTTAATTCAAGTCAGGATGCTGTTGGTTCTGTCCTTAATTTTTGTCCGATTTACCTCCACTCACTCTGCCTTAGGCCTGGTGTGCGCGCCATCACTACAGGGACGACTCTGTAAAAAATTCACGCGCTACACGATACTTTAAGGAACGTTTTGGCGAAGGCGACCCACGGAGCCCTGATGTTCAACCTTTGCGCAAAAAGAAACCGCGGACCGATGCGCTGAAGGACTACTACATGCCCGAGACGGCTGATTTCTACATCAAGGCTGTTGTTGATCTATGGACAGAACAGGCAGCTTCGGCACCAAATGGAGTGTGGCAGGGAGCAGAGACATCCCCGCGCAAATAGCTAGGCCATTCATGGAGGCGTACAAAAGAAAGATCGGTAAGCTGATATATTGCTGCATATGCTTGTGGCCATGCTATTGTTCAACTACTAAACTACATGTATTTATCCTTCTAGCCCATTTGCGCAAGGTCATCTTGCAGGATGCTGCAGCTCTCATGGAAATTAACGGTGACCCACAGTGTCAGTACGACTTCCACCGGATTTTCATGAGCCAGTCTTCAGGCTACCATGTTCAGCGAGTTCCGGGCCGCTTTGCGCGAAAAGATGGCTACGTCAAATCGCCTATCTTAGATAGCCTCCGCCATTCAACATGGGCTGCGGGACATTTCAGAGAAGGTGGCATCCGCGACAAGCTTGCTTAAAACAATACCCACTACAACCGACATGCAGCGCGACAGGAACGTTTGGTCAGCATCAATAGCACGACAAAATGAACCACATGAAGAGCGACATGGTCACTATGCACAGCGGCATAATAACAGTGAACAATAATATAGGCAACAGCTTGATCTCAATTCACAACGTCTTAAAGCAGATCATGGCCACTGCAGCTGATACTATGGCTAGAACAGAGCTTAAGATAGCACAGATGCCAGAAATGCCTTTGCGTCAGAGATGTTACCTTCAACACTACAAGAGCCAACGCAACAACAACTGCAGCCACAGCCATTGCCGCCATCTGTTCAGGATCAACCGTGGTCGCCACTGCTATCTCGGTTGCCATTTACAGAGAATGAATCACATTCTCCACCACCACATTCTCCACTACCACATTCCCACCACCACGTTCTCCACCGCCACGTTCTCCGCCATCAGTTTCACAGCCCTAGTTACCCTCAATGGAGGCCGAGCCAGTCAAGGACGACTTGGTGGCCTTGGCAGAGTAACTGGCATGGCTCGGGACAAGCCCGTCATTTCCTCATTACCATGAAGAACCGTCCACGTACCATCGATCCAATTTGGCAAGAATGGTTTCATGGTGTTGAC